GGCATAACATTAGTACAGTAGTACAGTATTCATTTAACTAGCTTGGAACGCACACTGATGTGTTTTCAGACTGTCTAGCAATATGCCCCTGTGATTGCATGCATCTAAACCCCACACATACAAAATATTGAATAAGAAAGAAAAATCAATAGAGAAAAGCTTAAATAAAACTTACCTCATCGATCCATTCTATTATCACGCGTTCATCACAGTACGGCTTCTGCTGCATCGTGAGGATAGCATGATCGCGATGCAAAGGGTGGTTCATCGTGCACGTCGTCGTTAGAAACGCCGGCAAAAACAATAAGCCGCAGCATTTTGTCATTTGTCGCCGACGCACAGAGAAATACCGACGCACGGAATGCATTTTCGGACATCGATTGCACGACGTCTGCATTCTTGTCGTCAGTAATTCAAAGGTGATTGTAGTGTTTGGATTCATTTCATTGTAAATTGAAGCTTGATCCATATTGTACACATGCTCGTATTGCTGAACCCCGGAAAGCATGATACAATACTACTATTTTCAGTCGTTCAGCCCATGCTTGCTTCAAAAGCAGTAGCAACATTCTAGATCGAAATGTACAAATAAATAAACAAATAACATATTACATACAAGAAGTAATAATAGAAAAATAAAAATTGTACCTCTAAATCAGGAATATACTTATTGCTTCGGTGAGTGATGCGAGGTACGGAGAACCTGTTGCGAAGTCTAAAACGCCGCAAATACTCCACGGCTGCACACTCTGTTCTCTCAAGGGGGGGATCAAGACTTGAAGCGCTCGCGAGTGACATACCATGACCGATCTCGCCTCATAGCAATCACCCACTCTAGAAGCCAGCTCGTACGCCAAATTTAGAAAAAAAAGTAAATCTTCATTCCTTTTCTCAAGTTCTGGATACTCAATTGGCGAACCTTGGTGCGTATTAACCACAAAAATCTTCGTGGGGCGAGCAGTCTTGATCTCGAACCTCGATTTCACCCAGCGTTGAGCGGTGAATGTTGTCCTTCTTGGCGAGTTCCGTAGATACTCCGTGCGCGTTAGCTTCGCCGATGGCTTTAAATTGCTGGCTATTTAAATGCAGTACAGACCGCATTGCTTGAATGCGAACGCTTTTATTTGCGCGCGCATGTATTTGTGAAAGGATCGTTGGCTCAGGAGTAGGGCATGAGTTCAAAGTTTTTACAGATTTTACATTTTTAGCTAATTCCTTAATCAGTACTTTTACAGGGTTGCAGAGATCTCGCGTAATACGGTTTAAAGAAGCTCTGAAAATTAGCATAACTCCATTCACAGCACTTTCGATCGCTGCGACTTCCTTTGTCAGCGCATCTTCTGCACCTGCTTCGCAGCTGCAGCATTTTGCTCTGGCGAAATTACTAGCACTTCTTTGGTAATACAGCTCGAAAAAATTATCTGTAGTCATTGTTTTTTTACGATGAATTCAATGCTCCGGTTTGACTGCCGAAACGCCAGGTACATATCAAGGGAAGCTCCACAAAGCTTAATACAACGGTAGCATCTCCCGAGGCAAGATTCTTTTTGGCTCTATCATAATATCATGATATTATCGCAGTATGCCATTCTGTACCGAACAGAATAAGATGCCTAGCATATCGTATGCTGTATGGCACAGAGTAACTCATCTGTACCGTACAGAATACGCACCCAGAGCAATATCCTGATTCCGCGCAGCAGGTCATGTACACCTTCGTCCCGTATTTATGGGACTTGTCCTTGTTATATACGCGCACTGGATTGAACTTACTTTGGTTAGGAATAGTGCCTTCGTCGAAGCTAATGCGAACCTCAAGGCACATTCATAGTTTATAAATCGCACCTTTGAAGTACTCCACTCCTGCCTTGTCCTTACGAAGCCGACCCTTCACTCCTGGTTTCACATAGGTGTGCTCCGAGTCCAGTCCTGACGGCGGCCTTGCTTTGCATCCGGCCTTGGTGAGAGAGCGCCACAGTCGCTGGAACGCTTTCGAGTCAATCCACTCTGTCATCGTAGACGATATTCGCGGTATGAGGAGACCAGTGTGTGGTGGAGGGCGTGGTGGAGATAGGATGCAGATAGCATTTGAAACCTCCAGCCAATTTATCCTGTGTGTTCTATGTCTAAGGGATAATGCCTGTTTATTTCCCCCTCTCCGATCCCCAATGATAAAATCCCCACCCACATATATACAAACTCTCATATGCGGGAAATTTCTGCCGCCATTCGTGTATGTAAGCTTGCAACACACTTCCAACTGTCGTATTACTTATTCTGTATAATACAGAGTACCGGGATTAAAGGGTTATTGTAGTGAACACATTTCTCTGAACTTTATTTCAGAGTGTACTGGGAATCTTATTTTTCTTCCGTAAACCATGTGTAATACAATAACGGTATCCTCTTTACATTAATGGGTTCACTCTTCTACAGTAAACGAGTTCGTAAAGTCGATACCCTTATAGATGTAAGAAAAACACATTTCTATATAACTTAAATGGTCGGATTGTCCGATAATCTTATACATTATTGCACAAGATCTTTAGTGTCCTTGAAGCGAGCGATTGGAAAATACCTCTAATTACTTGCACTAGTTTTAAATCACGCACGTGAATGTTAACCTAATTAAAGTGGCTATCTAGAAGTTCGCAATTATTACGACCAGAACTAGACCACACGCACGGGAAACACCGGAAAGCTGTCAATTTCTCCGTCTGGGGGAGCCCCTAAGGAAGGTCACGTTTGGATGACAGTTATGGCTCGTTCCCCTCCGTATCAAGCAATTGATTATGAGGATAAATCAAAGCAAGATGCTTGGGTTTGAATGCAAGGACAATATCCTGTGTTGAGCAGCATCATGGCGAATTCTAGCGGGCATTTCGACAGCTTTTCGCTTGCTGCCAATATTAGCCCGACCTTTACTATTTGTCGCCTCCAGGCGCCTTCGCGTCTAAGTTATCACAATACCCCCAGAATACCCCTGGGCATTGCCACCAAATCTCCAACGGCAAAGCAATATTTTCTCAAATCGTCAACTATCATGCCCTCCTCAAGAGCGGGAACAACCTCAGCGGCAACTTGTACTCATAACTTGAACGCGTGATCCGCCGATAAACAGTTCCTTTGGGCCGGCACATCAACACCATAAACAGTAACAGTGTAGTTATCGTTACTGCTGCTACACGGCAAGCGCTACCAGGCTTCAAATCTCGCACCAACGTAGCTACTAGGGTTCAATCGAACCCGACTCCCCGCCCTAGATAACCACAAGCTACCAAAGTACTCATTCCACAGAAAAGAACTATCTGGTACTTGGAGTAGCCTCAGCGTAGAAACTAAGATATTCGTTACGCGTAGAAAAAGCAAAAGGAACCTGCGGACCTCAACTTTGATACTAGCCATCATAACATAAACCTAAAATAGTTGCTAAATACTATACAACATTTAGCGACAACCGCAGATAATTCCCCCATTTTCGTCGAAATTCC